TAGCTAGACAAATGCATCAAGGATTTAGTAACCAGGGTCCTCTCAGTCATTAACAGATTTAGCCTTACAGCAGCCCTTGAAGACTGGGATGGGGAACTGAAATGCAGAGAAATTAATGGCAAAATCTCATTGGATCAGATAGCTGCCTAAACAAGAATGAATACAGGTAAAATACATAAAAAGACCAGAAGTAGGGGCTGAACCAAGGTCTCCTCCTCCAGTCAGACTGTTCTACAGACTGGTGTTTAGGGCATTCTGGAAAGCAGAATACATAAATTTGAATCCCCTCAGGCTGACGAGGGCCTTGTGCCCAGGTCTCCCAATTCTTGGGTGAGTGTTATACTCACAAGTCATACACAGAAGGGTACTGTCACCACCAGCCTACCTGCAGAAATAGGAATAGGCTTCATAGTTTCCTAGTTTGTAGGGTCGGAAGGGACCTTGACAGATCATCAAGTCCGACCCCCTGCCATGGCAGGAAAGAGCACTGGGGTCAAACGACCCCAGCAAGGTGTTCATCCAGCCTCCTCTTAAAGACCCCCAGGGTAGGAGCCAGCACCACTTCTCTTGGAAGTTGGTTCCAGATCCTAGCCACCCTGACTGTGAAGTAGCGCTTCCTGATATCTAGTCTAGATCAGAAGTGATCGGAAGCACTGAATGTGCAGCCTCACTCAGGTACCTCATCTCCAGTGGAAGGGGCTTTCACACAAAACCCTGGGCTTATAGATTCCTACTGGCTACCTCTCAGCTCCACCAGACTGTCCAAATTTCCCCTTGCTGATGTCTACTTCTCCCTATTGTGCACATATGGTGCCTAACCCTGCCATCTGGATTGCAACTACATTCCATCGATCTCCATATTCCAAACCTAGCAGTTTGCCTATGGGTCCACTTAGGTGCATAACATTGAGATCATTCCTAAGCTTTTAGTCCATTGAGGATGAATATCCATTGGGTATGATCTCCGAGTGGACTCAACAGTGTACTGGATTTGGAGTATACCTGCCAACCAAAATGGGCAGGGCAGGCTCAGGCTAAGGTTCAGCCTGGCCAGAAACACCACTGGTACTGTGGCAGACAAGCGTAAAGTCTCCCCATTGGCTGTGCTGGGATCCTTGGCACCCAGGTCTGATCCAAGTTGGTTGTCTGCCTCAGGTATGGTGCCTAAGCTATTCCAAAGCTTAAATGTAGGTGTCTTTCTATAAGACCAAACTGGACTTTCCCTAAGTGGACATCCCCAGGTCACACAGGAAGCCTATGGCAGACCTAGGAACTCCAAGATCAGGTCCCAAGTCACAGTCCAGCAAATGACCTAGAGAATCACCTTATGCTCCCTGCAGTCTCCAAAAATATACTACTGGCAGAGACAGTATGCTAAGTTCAATGGGTCACTGATTTGTTTTATTATGGCAGGTCTTACACTGCATCCCTAAGTAGTCAAAGCAGCAAAGGTGAATTGATTATTCCTGCAGAAGCAAAGACAACTGTCCTTGACACTATTCTGGGTTACTCTCCTGTGAAAACTATTAAGGACATAGGTGTGGGAAAAAGCAGTGTTTTGTGCACAGGTACATAAAGGGCCTGAAGATCAAGTTTGGGAAAGGTAGTGACTATGGTAAATTTCAGCACACTTGATAGTAGCAAGGCAGATAGAAGGAGGAGGAGAAAGGGAAGCTCCTATTTTTCCTGACTTGGAACTAATTTATACAATATACACAGTGAGAGTTACAGGCTGTGTCTACACATTCATTAATGTGCTTTAGGTTATTCACATTAAATCTAGTACCTTTGGGTATTTTTACACATGTTCCTGATGTGGCACCAGGCACTTTTAATTGGTGAGTCATGCTAACTAAACGCACCCAGTGCCATGTCAGGAACACACATACATCAGCAATGAAGCAGCACACCTCTGTGCTGAGAAAATGGTGGCCATGCACTTTGAACTAAAGCACAAAGTGCACCACCACCATTTTCTCAGCATAGACGTGCTGCACTGCTGATGTATGTGACATCCAAGGCTGCCAGAGCATGTCAATTTATGTGCTCCAGCAGACTTAATTAATCGAGTCTACCCTGATGGACTGGATTTCCGGCACATCAGAGCAGGCTCCCCGCATGTGTGTAAGTGCCCTCCATTGTGAAATACTAGGAAAAGACGCATTAGCCTATTTTAATGCACATTAGCTAAAGAGCATGTTTTTTTGTAACACTTTAATGCACATTAAAATAAATTAATGCACATTAAATTGCACATGTAGACATGCCCAGTTTCAAGCAAAGATCACATTATCATTTTGGCCTTTCTGCATTTAGCAGTCTTCACAACCTTGTTTACAGCTGTGTGGTCTAGAAATTTTGAGATGGTATTTCACAGACCTGCAACAGCTGGCTTGAGGAAATTGTAAGGGATCTCTCAGCACAGATATCCCTGTGGTACACAACAGTCTGGGAATTCTGGTAGCAATATTGCAATTTTGAAACATATTTAGCCATGTTTGGAGGATATAGTGTTTATCTCCATAATACAGAAGTTTGCTTTATCTTCCCATTTATGGAAATTGATTTTTTTTTTTTTTTTTTTTTTTTTTTTTACATCTGATAGACAAATGCTCAAAGACTAATTTATTTATAGACAGGAGAAGTGTCCTGTCACAGCAACACCTGAACATCTCTAAATTTACAACAGGAATCAAATGCTTTTCCCAGTTACCAAATCAAACACACAAGAGACTATAGTAGTGTTCCATGACTTCTGATCCTATTTACAAGGCAGTTATGGACTGACAAAGAATGACTTTGATGAGGAAGGCTAATTTTTCTGTATTTTTGTGAAGAGCTTGGTCTAATAGTAGTCCAACAGTCTGACCAAACGTAAAATGCAATCCCTGGGGGAAGGACAGCTACTACGTAGTAGAAGCTGACTACAAACTTAGCATGCTGGCACTCTTGTTTGGTGTTGAAAGGACAACGGTCAAGAAGGCCATGGTGCAAGTGTCAGGCTTTGGCATCCCAATGGAATGAGTCATTATTTTTAACAACAGCCCCAATATAGTGAAAGAATTTGAACATGAGTGGGGATGCCCCAATTGCAATGGAACTATTGATAGAAAACACTTGTCCATTTTTCTGCCGGTAATGAAATGACAATGAGTCCAAGTATCACAAAGGCTATCATTCCATTGTGGTGTAATCTCTCCATTTTAGATGCATTCTTAAGCCACATGAATAATGTAATACATGAAAAACCATTGTCACAATGTTCACAGGGAAGCAGAACAGGGATTATCACACCTCATGCATATAGATGTACATTACGATTAGCCTTTGCTTACAGAGCCCATTTAATCTCCATCACTCCCAAGAGGATACTAACACATGGTATTTATTCAACGATGTCAGTTAACAGCATAGAAAGGTGAAGCTTCTGACTGGTATTTTAATTTAAAATTAGTTCAAGGTACAGTAGTCAAGTTTGTACTTCTGCTGTAATACCTCCATGGTAACACACACAAGCAAATCAAAACATCTTCTCTCAGAAAATCCTATTCTAATTTTTCACCCTTCTCAAATTATGCTAAGGAAATGTACTAACAGCATTTACCATTTACACAGATGGAAAAGAGAGAAGAACAACATACAAGATACAATAGTTCTCTTTAGGCTTACAGATATTCACCCTAAACTCTTCAGAAAAAAAACCCCAAACATACCTCTATTATTACTGTTTCATTCGTAGGTCCTGCAGCAGTTAAGGTCTCTGGTTGATTATATGGTCTCTGATAGTCAAACACTGTGCCCGAAAACTTGTATCGGCCAGGCCAGTCCACAGTCCAGTAGCCATTAAGATAATATTTTTTATATGGATTGCGAACAGAAATATAGGAAGTAGAGACATTCATTTCATGAACACGAATACTCTGAGCTCCTGTAGGAATAGTGACTACTATGTAATATTCTAGATAAAGATAAGAGAAAGAGAAAATAAGAACATCACCCTCACCTAAGCACACTTATGCATGTTTCACTGTGCCACAATTTAATCAAGATCGAAGGGCTTAGTCATGGGTAGTCAAGTTAGTTAAATGCCTACTTATCTGAAGGACTGGGGTGTTAGTAGACAAGTAAAAGGATAGGGGAATAAGGCGGGATACTATCACGTGTGCTGTAGAGCACATCCCGAATAGTTTGATCAGAAAGAAATTTGATTTGCAGGGGAACCCCTTATTTTTGCAAAACAAATTTAAAAAAATAATTGGACCAAGACAGATATAGTTTTCACACAATCCTTAAAATAGTTAAAACAATTATTAGTAGAATAAATAATCTATACACCCCACTGACAAAAACCCAAAATGAAGGCAGCCACTGATAAAATAGAAAACCAAATAAGAAAACTTGGAATAGTGAATAATATTCTTGTTCTCGCAATGATTTTAGACTTCCAATGGACTCTCTGTAGTAGGGCTTACTTAATATGAAGTGCTATTAATCTTCATAATACTCACGGTTTGTATAGTGCTGTTTGATGTACTGGCCCCTATAAATTTTGCAACTTGAGTTGTTTCCTTTGCATACCCCACAAGCATCTTTTACAGCATTAGAACCCAGGACATTATCACACCCAACTGCCTGCAAAATAAGGTACATTTTATTATGCAAAAGTATGAACAACACAAAATCAATGATAATTCTTCAAAAAGTGTACAGGGAAAAGTAAAGTATGAACTCTTCAATAGAACATCCTCTCTTATCTTTGAAGGAATTCACATCTATAATGGTAAGCACTAAGATTCAATGAAGATTGTTTAAAACATATCAGCTTCACCTAAAACCTAAATAAAGTTGCATCCCCCTCCAGAAGTGTTATGAGTCTCACAACCAGCCTGATCTTGAACATTTCCTTCAGGTGAAAATCATCTTTTCCTTCCTCTGGTAGGAGGGAGGTGCTCAGTAGCTCAAAGGATCAGGTCAATACACATATAGCAATCCACTGCTGCATGTAGGATTTATGGCCAATGTAAAAAAAGAGCACCTTTCTTTCACTGCACTTCTATCTAAGGATGAAGGCCTGCAGAGCATGTCTAGAGGTTCCTTAGTTACATTTGAATGTTCTTTGTTACATTAAAATGTTCTTTTGACCAAATATCAAATAAAAAAACCTCATCATCATGATCATCATAAAATCAGATATGCTACTAACATCTAGTAACCTATAATAAAACCAATATATTTTCAAAGGGTTTGCTCCTTTTAGCACCTGGGGGTAAGTGAAAGGCACCATCAATATTAAAGAGTAGATGGTGCATGTCTTATCCACTTTTGACTACTTGGTCTCAAACACAGGGCACTTATATACATGCAGAGAGGCTGCTCTAATGTGTTGTATTTACAGTGTGTTGGAGCAGACTCAGTTAATCAAGTCTGCTGGAGCGTGGTAATTACTGCACTCAAGCAGCCTCCAACATCACGTGTACCAGCATCCCTGCACTGAAAAATGGCAGTGGGGGCTCTTTAACTAAAGTTCATTTGATGAGCTTTAGTTAAAGCACCCCTGCCACCATTTTTCAGTGCAGGGGTGCTAATACACATGATGCTCCGGGTGTTTTAATTAGAGCGGCTAATTAAAGTGCTCCCGTTCTCTCCCCCCGCCCCTCTCCCCCTCCAGGAGCATGTCTATAGTTCCAAACTGAATGGGAATACATTCTCACCAATGTGACCAAAGGTTGCACAATCTCTCCCTACATAAAGGATGACTGAGAATAAATCACTGTCATTTACTTTGTTCTATTAGTAATCTAAGAATAACCAATATCTTAGTTATCTGCAAAACAGAAGTACCTTTGTTTCATTATTACCTCACAAGTCCCATCTATACACACATTAGGGCTATCCTCTGAACATGGTGTCCCATCTTTTACTTTGTTTGACAGAGAAAAGAAGAAATCGTACCCTTCAGCAATACAGTAGAGTTTACACAAATCTTGATCTAAAATGCAAAACAAAACAAACTACACATTAAAAGGAACATTGTTTTATTTGTCTTTATGACCACTGCTGTTTAAAAAAAAAAAACATATAAAAATGAAGATAAATAGTCAAGAGTTTTAAGCATGCCAGATATCTAACAAAAGCCATGTTTTTGGAAATGAAATAACAGAGCATTTTTATTTCCTTTTATTTTACTTACCATCAATTTTAAAATTAAGTAACTGATGGAGCTGCCAATCATTACATTTTTAAGATTACTGAACTATATTTTCAACAAGGACCAAGGATGGTACTTTTATTTGGTAGAAATAGGGCTTGTTTTAAGCAATACTTAATTTTGATTGGGTGTTCAATGAAATGAAGAAGCAAAGTCATGAAAATGTTTGTCACTGGTTGTGATATGTCACAGCACAGCTGATTGAGCTCCATGGTTTATGTCTGTTTCCAGCCTAGGAGGCTCCCAGCTTCATACATGCAGATAAATATACTTTAATTGCTTACTTCATTAACAGAATACTAATTGTAATTGTACCTTCCTTACTATTTGCTCTTTTAAATATGTGTGGAACTGGCATTAAAATTTTGCTGAAAGACTATCCTACTGGTATAAAGCTTCCCTAATGGATTACATTAATTACTTTATTAAGAAAAATCCTTGACATCTAAACAATTTTATTTTTTTAGAATCAGGAACAGTTTAGTTTAAATCACTCCATATCACAAGATCCTTTTTGCTCTCTTTCCTCTAAAAGAACACAAAATGGGTTTTCTCATGTCACTAAAAATAATTTCCTGCTTCCTAAAATCTATGGCTAGGGACAGAAATTACACATAAACCAGTGTAAGTGATTGGGAACTGGTTCAAATCTGTAAACACAACAGAAGTTCAGTGTACATAAGCCTCTTTTGAAATGGTTGAAAACATTTTAAGATAAACCTGGATGGATGTAGTATCAGACTTAACTGATTTAGGTTAAATCTCTTTATTGAACTTCTGTCCCAGATCCCCTCCAGATTCCAGTTAACTTTCAGCCCCCAGCATCCCAGGATGGTTTGCAACCCTCCCCAAAAACCCTCCCTTGCAGGGTGACTGGCCTAGCCTTGGCCCAAGCTGTTAGCTCTAACAGAACAGGGAGGTATGCTCTAAATACCCCCTGCTTCTGGCCTTAGTCACTGCAGGCATTTCCAGAATCAAAAGTCAGTGTTTGTTCACCTGCTTATTGGTTCAATCTACGCAGTTTAGACTAACTTGCAAAGATTGAATTGATTCAGCCTTGGGCTATTTGACCGTCTGTAATTAGCTTATGACACAATCTAATAAGACAGCAGGGACAGAACACAGTGATAAGCATGACATCTCTGATTCAACTATGTTGTTTTATTGAGTACACAATAAGCTGGGGAAGTGTGTTAATGAAGGGACAAGACATCAGGTACAGTCTGAAGGAACAAGACATTTAATGCGTGGAAAGTTACTATCTTTTGATAACTGAAGGTTGAACTTTCTGGTTACTCAATACTCATTATAAATGGAATTTTCATATTAATATGTCTGAATGATCTCATTTCAATATCAGCACACAGCATATACAACATCTGTCAGTATCATTTATGTTGTGGAAACTTGACACAGAGCAAAGTTTAATTCAGTTTTACAGATATAATGCAGAAGGAAGGACTGAAGTATGCCACTAAATTGATGTAGCTATGATTGTGTTGAAGCCATTAACTTATCGAAAGATTACACTTCATTTTGGTACACTCAACATTTGACCCTACTTTTATACATGGAAATGCATTGCTGCTTTTTTTGTAAAGTATCTTATCTGTACAAATGATGAAGAATTCTGGACTAAATTTTCTACTATAGTACTACCCTGCCATACATGAAAAAGAGACAGAGACAGAGAGAAAGTAAAAAAAGACTCAGTTTGATCTGTGTGAAATAAAGCATGCGTGAGATTTACCTCCCACTTGAGTGTAAGGTTTCCATTTGTAGTACCATCCCCTAAATTGCTTGCTATTAAATTCAGCACACTGGATGGCTCTGAAGTCAACGCTGTTTTTAGGACAGTTTTGACTGTTGCAAATCTTCATCACACGAGTAGAGCCCTCACAGAACTTTCCTCCATGGGATGGCCTGAAAAATTAATACAAATAATAATACCACAGAAAGCATCCCTTAACAGTTTAGATTAATATTATGCTTCCATTTTCAATATTATACTAATTTTAACTATAAAACTTTATTTGACAAAAAACCCAAAAAATTGCTCATTAACAAACATGTTTGTGTTTTCAATATACATATCCTCTTCAAAAGCTATTATAGGTGGCTGTAATATGTTGTTTTGCTGTTGTTTACTCACTTTGGTTTGTTTTTTATTGAAAGTTAAGTGTCTGCTGAAGACTGGACTACACATATAAGTTTGAACCTAGACACGTGTTAGAGCACTAAATTGTGCCAACTGTTCATATTCGTTGCATGTGTCTTTTCAGAAGGATGATCAAAATAACAAATGCTCAGGATAGAGGCCAGCTCATACTCCTTGAATGACTATAATAAACTTTAAGTGCATGTTAAATCTAAGTACTTTCTATGGCCCTTGATGCACTTTTGTATGGATTGCATGTTATTCTCACAGGTGCATTCCCCAAGGGCAGTCGTATGTAATTGCAGATCTGTGAGATTATACATAACTTAAATTCTACATATATTATCTCCTACTGAGTGCCATTTACAACTAATTCAAGAGGCTTTCTCCAACTACAAGACAAATTGTAGTATGCACTGATTGAATTAAAGCAGGTGTGGAATATCTGACTATTTAAAAATCTGTATAAAAATGTAACAGGAGCTTGTGCAAAATAAATATATCATAAAAGGGTGATGGGGAAGGGGAGAAAAGGAACATCTCTCTGATAAAAGTTGTTGCGACCCCCATTATACATGAGAGCTTAAAAAGATCTTGCATAACAAAACAGTAATACACGTCTTAAAATTTACATATTTAAATTGTGTTAGTGAATTAATGCTCGTGAAAGTAAAAGAGGGCCTGCATCACAAGGGCTGAGTTGCACATATTTTTCATCAGGGAACTCCCCTAAAGTAACATTGAGATTCTGAAAATCCAAGTTCTGCTACAGGTTATAGAGTGAAACTTGCTATAGTATTTACAGATATTATTTTATCTTTGTGTATAAATGTAATAAACATGGTTTGCAATAAAAGTCAGATAAATTAGAAGGGATTGGAGTGTTGTTGTATGATAGTCCAGGAAACATGAGGCAAGAGGTTTCTGTGATATCTTTTATTGGACTAACCGGAGTTGGGAGAGAAGTTTTACAAGCTTTCAGACACCTGAGGAAGGTCAGTGTATTCCCAAAAGCTTATCAGACTTCTTTCTCAACTATACAGTTGGTCCAATAAAAGATATCACAAAAACCCCTTGCCGCATATAAATGAAATAAAAAGACAGATTAAAATAGTAAAATAAAATACTATGCAATAGAAGAAACATCAGACAATGGCCCACAACTTAGCGCTGCCTACTGAAGACCTGCCCAAATACAATGTTTTCAGAAGATATCCAGGCCCAGAGTTTCCTAGAAATGTGACAAAAGCATATTTTACCAATCTGATGGGAAACCTAGGACAGGTTTTTTTTAATGGACTGTCCCAGAAAGACCAGGATGTATGTCACCTTGAGCACTGCAGTAGTCTGTCCTTCAGGGTATGAAAGCCTGGATGATGGTAATCAAACCCAAATCTGAAAGAAAGGATCACAGTCTTCTAACGAAATGGAGTTGATGAAAGGTGTCCATAGTCATCACTGCAGCCTGGAAACCCAAGTGCAGCAAAGGAACAAGGAACATGACAAGGATGTGAACCTGAGTGATAAGGGAAGCTAAGCCCCAACAAATGATAGCTGTCCCATCCTTATCACTTCCAAGTTGTGAAGTGTGCCAACTACCACAGGTGTCTGAATTCAGTTTAACTGGTTCATGAACATCCAATCCCCAGCTGCAGCCCAGCACTGGTAAGGACAGAGACTACAGCAGGCCTGGGCAGGAGGAAAAGGAGAGAGAGAGAGTTGTGTGTCATTACAATCTTACCCAGTGGCTTCAGATACCCACTGGACAGGAGGAGCAGCAAAATGGGGGACCCCACAGAACAAGTCCCAAAAGAACGATTAGCATCACCCATCACCATGCTCTGGGACTTCCAGAGAAAAATTAATTCAGAGTGGTCTCATGAATACCCACCGGGTCATGTAAATGTGTCAACTGTATCAAAGGCTGGTGAAAGATCTAGCAAGGGTACAGTTTTCCCTCACAATCCCTAACTGAAGATCAAACAATGCCACATGTGTAATCCCTGTACTACACTCAGGATGACAGCCAGAATGATGTGGGACCAGGAATCCTGTAGTGTCAGATGCACCTGTAGTTGTCAAGCAAGCATGCATTCAATGACCTTCACCAAAAAAGGGGAGACTGGAGGAGTGATAGTTGGTTGGGGAGTCAGCATCAAGACATGTTTTGTTTTTTTAAGTAAGGTCGAACAATCACAGATGTACGAACATCCAAAGGGAAGCACTAACAAGCACCACCAGAAGTGGTCCTGATCTCTCCCAGCTGGCTTTTATAAGCATGGGTCCAGTTCAAACAGCTACCCCATTCCCATGAACAGGTGACAACAATTAAAATTGATCCACATAAACCAGATGAGACTGAACTTCCCAAACCCCAAACTGATTCTGCAGCTAAACTGGTGGTCCCCGAGCTGGGCTAGATACAAGCAGCTTTGTTTGCAAAGCTAATGGCAAACTTGCCACAGCAGACTATAGATGACTTGCTTTCTGGGCAGAGACAACCTGGTTTAACCAGGACATTCACCACCCAGAACCATTTTGCTGTATGGCACTTTGCAGATGTAACTGCAATGGAGAAGAAAAACTTCTTCACTACCACCATTGACACAGCATTGTCCTTCAAAAATGAACTCTCCTGCAATTGGTCAGCTTCAACATGGATTGAGAGCTACCTGAGCTCTAACCACCTACCTCCCCTCCCCCCCCCCCCCCCCCCCCACTTCAGACAGCTTAGAGCCCTGCACAACAGAGGACTCTGTGCCATAGAAGAAATGGGAATGGCCACCTTAAATTAATGTCACTATATCTTCTGTTAGTGTCGAAACATCACTACTTGTTCCCATTAACCTGCTCTCTTCCACTTATGTTCCTCCAGCAGACTGTTCCTTTCTCCTAGCTTTCTTCCTCCTGTGTTCCTTCTACTCCTCCTCTTCCTTTTTTGCCTTCATTTCAGTAAGTTTACTTCCTTCTTTGCCTCCACACTGCCTGAACACCAGCAGGAAGAGTTTAAAAATCATAAATGTCCCCCTCAATCCTCCTCCTAGGTGTGGGATAGGAGGCTGGCCCAAACTGTACCCATCTTAAGAGGCTGGGACGGCTGGTTTCATGTCAATGAAACTGGAGTTTCTTTTTTGGGGACAGGTCTGGGCAAAATGTTCCGCTTCTCCATAGTAGACAAAGACTCCTGGAACAGCAGTGCACCCTTTCTTCAGGGGAGTCTCCTGCTAGTTGCCTCAACCTGCCCGGGTGCCACAGATAGCAATACAGAGTTTTTCTGGATTCCAGGGCAGTCCTGCAGACTGGGGCAAGTCCCCCTTCTCTTGTTGACATTCAGTCAGGAGAATATCAATCTTAGTTCAGAGATTGAAGAGTTGCTGGAAGCTCAACCTGGGCTAGTTCATCTTTGATACCAACCACCAACCCCCCCCCCACTGGCAAAAGTGGAAATGTTGTGCAGCCTCATTCTACTACTCCAGCCAGGCACCTACATTCTGTGGCATGGCTAGACACAGGACAGTGGCCCTCTTTCAAAGGCTGGAGGTCCCACTCTCCTGTGCATATGTGATTTGAGTCATTGAAGATCCTACCTATCATCCCAATAAAGGCTTCAGATTTGATAATGGAGTGGCTTGAGGCCTCCAAAAGCAGGGATGTCCAGGCCAACACATCTCTAATCAGGCGACTGATTATCAGCCCCACTCTGGCTGTGTCTGAAGCATACATTTGGGGATGCAACCTGAAGGCCAGATAGCATTGATTTATAAAGTAGACCCCTGTAGGTCCCCAAAACCTACAGGAGTCACCAGAACATCTGCCTGGCAATGGAATCTTGGGAGCAGGAATCACCAAGGTGGCTGGCTGAGCAGCTGATGCTGGTAGGAGGTATTCTGAACCAGCAGGGCAGCCGTCTGGGCCTGAAAATGCTGCAGCACAGCCACCAGTTCAGGTCCAGAAATCTGACCTGGTGACTGAATCATCCTACAGTGAGCCTTCCAGGTAATCTGATGGCTGCACAAGTTGTCATCATCCATCAGTCCAGCCATCCTAGTGGGTAGAGCTGGGAATGGGACAAAAGTAGGAGTCAGGAGCCAAATACCAAGCCAGGGTCAAGATCAGGGAATCAGAAGCCTAGTTACCAAATTCAGGGGACAATCCACATGGCAAAGTCCAAAAGCAGAGCCAAACTGGGCTCAGGAGCCAGGAAACAGATCTGCAGGGAAATCCAAAGCCAACAGCAGGTCAGGAACCAAGAAAGTCAGAGATATTGCTGGACAGGGGCTGCTCACAGACTGGAGAGCAGTAGGTTGTGCAGCAAGGCTCAGGTGTTGGAGGAACTGCTTAAAAGCATCCCCACAACCAATCAAAAGGAAGTTACTGGAGGGCAGCTAGCCTTGATTAGTTGTAACAGGGTTCACTCCACTTAACAAGGGCTGTAGGGTAGAAACCTGACTGCTTTGCTGAGTTGACCCAGGCTATAAGGCAGGAGGAGCCTTTCAGTATTAAATATGAATTCAGACAAGCTTAGTTTCTGTCAGTTTCTGCAACTCAGATTAAATGGAAGAACTTTCTTTTGACTTTCATTTAATATAAACGTGATTCAGTTATGCCACAGCTAAAATGTATTTTTTCCATTGATTACCATACTGTCAGCAGGTCACTTACCCTGGTTCCTTACCTATACCTGTCAGCTCTGGTTCAGGCTTTCAAAATAGTTTTATTTCTTTCAGAAAACCTTTGCAACCATAATTAAAAAAAATCAATCAAACCAGGATAAACAAAACAAAACAAAACAAACACCTGTTGTCTTCCTTCATACAATAAAAGGGGAGTTTTCTGGCTCTGTGCTTCTCCACAGCCTGTTCTCCCCTTCTAACACTCCCTTCATGAGTTCTTAAGCCTCCTGGTAGCTGCAGCTTCCTTAGCAGGTTTATCAGTTCCAGCTCTCCCAGCCAGGCAGATTATTATAGACTGACCAGCTGCAGCTGGGTTCCAGGCTCTTGAGAGTTGATTGTGTCCTTACACATACCTAAACAGAACTTTCAGAAGTACACTTGAACCTTCACCAGTTTTGTTGTTTGTGATTAAACCAGGTGCCATTTTTTCAGCAAAAAAAAATATTTGGGGAAAAAAAATAGTTTGAGAAGGCTGGAAATGCTTGCATATTCATGTTAAATATTTTGAATAGCTTGGTTGGAAACCAAAATGAAAAAAAAAAAAAGAAAAAAAAATCATAAATGCCCAAAGGAATGAGGTCAGCCGCCTGCCCAACACAAAACATTTGTGCTGTCCTAGGTGCCATTCACAAAACAACTGGAAAAGACACCATGTTGTTAACTTCCAAACACTATATATTTTTGTGGTTAAGCAACTCGCCCATACTCTCAGCCTGCTTCACAGTTTTGAATTTTGATCTACTACCTCTCATTATATTGCCCCAACCACCAGGCTACAGGAAATCCTCAGGACATCCCTAGCTATTTATTTCCAAATTTCCTTTGCTGTCATTTAAAAGGCTTGAACTTTTTTCAATTTGCCAAAAATCTGGAAAAAATCCAATTTCAGGTTGACTTGGCTAGTTCTAATTAACACAAATTAATTTACTTTAAATAATGAAGCCAGACATCTTCTCTTGTACTCCTTTCACAGACTTCCAAATCCCCATTGTATTAATTTATCTGACTTTGATTTGGTTAATACAGTACTGTTTAATATACCAGAACAAAAATGTTTGTAGTAGAGGTTAATATTTGAGTTATGGATTGTCAACATGCCATAAAAATGTTTAACAAAGACTACTCACAATTCTAAAAACATTACTAGAATCTATACCTGTTTTCTGCTCAATGTCATTAATAAATTAAGAAAGATTAGGTATAAACATATGTATATATTCACCTTGGATTAGTGCACTGTCGCTCTCTACGAGATATGCCTCCTCCACAGGTTCTAGAGCAAGGTGACCAACTGGACCAGTCTGACCAATGCCCATGGGTTGGCTTGGGTCCTTCATCACCATATTTGACACACTGTCCACCACGACACCACTACAACATTCAAGATTTGGGCATTAGGTTTGTTATGGTCACTGCTTGTAACTTCAACGCACAGACTATTTTTTATCGATTTAAAAAGGCTTACGAAGCTTCATATATGCTAAAGACAATATGAAGTAAATTCTGCCCTGGATGATGTCCTTTGCATCCCCACTGAAGTTACTAAAGAAGACACACTAGGAAAATGCCAGGGTACAATATGGTCTTTTATATAGATTTTATAAGCTTTTTTAAGGATATTTATATCAGCAATACTTAATATTCTAATTTATTTTCCAAGCCTACAAATGATTTGAAGCACTGCAAAATATAACAAGAATCACAGAAATCTCATGTAGGGATCTGACATACTGAGATAAAAATTTGAACACTTAACTTGTTCATAGTAAATTATTAGTTTTACTGGAAACATTTAATCATGAGGCATGACACCGCCTGTTAGAAAACCTTTTTTGTGAAACTCCCCTAAAATAAGAACATATCATTTTTTTCAGTTCAGTACCTTGTACTTACAAATCTATTTTTTCATGCTTTCATTCTACAACACCTAGGCTAGGGACAGACATTCAAAAAGCCAGAGCCTGAACTGATTGAATCTTTGCAGGTTAGTCTAAACTGCCTAGATTGAATCAGTTTGCAACTGTACAGATATCCCCTCTGGACTGAGGAAATGCAGGCACATGCCTGCAAGTTTGCTGATGACACTAAGATGTGGGGCAAGGTGGACACACTTGAAGGGAGAGAGAGGCTGCAACTAGATTTAGACAGACTACAAAAGTGGGCAGACAAGAATAGGATGGGGTTCAACGTAGACAAATGCAGGGTGCTGCACCTTGGGAGAAGGAATCCACAGCATACATACAGGATGGGGAGTTCCCTTCTTGAAAGCACAGAGGCAGAAAGGGATTTTGGAGTCCTTATTGACTCCAAGATGAATGTGAGCCGCCAATGCCAGACCGCAGCCAGCAAGGCTAGCCATACTTTGTCACGCGTCCAAAGATGTATCTCAAGCCAGTCCTGAGAGGTGATACTCCCCCTCTATGTGACTTTGGTCAGGCTGCAGTTGGAGTACTGCATCCAGTTCTGGGCGCCGCCCTTCAAAAGGGATGTGGCCAGCCTGGAGAGGGTTCAGAGGAGGGCCACCTGTTGGTGAGAGGGCAGCAGGACAGGCCCTACGAGGAGAGACTGAAGGACGTGAACCTGTTCGGCCTGAGTGAGAGGAGGCTGAGGGGAGACCTGGTGGCTGCCTACAAGCTCATCAGGGGGGATCAACAGCAAATAGGCAGAGC